GGGGTCTAGATCTACTGCTTACTCCGTGATTCTCTATTATCTAGCAAACTAAGTCGAGTGAGTGTTGTTTAAAGCAAAAGCAGTAAGAAAGCAGGAAATGGTTCGGTTTTCAAAAGCAGTTAAGAGTCACTCGGGATTGAGTCCCCCTAGCCCCTTAGTTAGGTTCAATTGTAATTCCCTGGGTTGATTTACTGTTGATTAGACTGCGGAAGATCCGACAGTAGCTTGGAATCTCTTAAGCTGACCAAGCCCTCTCAGTCTAACTACCCGGCAGACGACTAGTCTTCACCGGGATAGAAAGCTGAGGCTATGAACACAGAACTCCACTACTGGCGTTAAAAACACCAGTACAAAGCAGTAAACTGGCTAACTCTCGTATAGCCAATCTCCTACTATCGAATGAAGAAGCTCTAACAACCTAATCAGATTCTATCTATCTCAGGTTGAAGCAGAAACTGAAACAAGCTGATCAGACTCAAATCAATTCATGAAACATGCATCATTCGATTAAAATCAAACAATAATATCATCCCAAGTCATTACAATCAAATCCCTAACACAAGGAACTAGGGTTCTTCATACCCAAGTGAGAGAAAGGTTCTACTCCATAGAGAGAGAAAGGAAAACAGAAATCAGAGTAGCCATACTCATAAAGATGAGGAAAATCTGCTCTGGGATGTCAATCTTCACTCCTTGGGACGCAATCTGGGCTTCAATGATGAGAAATCCACTCCAAATCAGCTCCTAGGGTTTGTTCTTCGCTCTTTCTCTCTCTAAAACTCTGTTTTTGCCCAGAAAATCGAATTCTCTCTCCTTGGCTCGAATCTGCCTTCAAAAACCCGACTCTGGGCGAATTACGGGCATAATTACGGCCGTAATCACTTCCTGCCCGTAATTCGCACCAAAACGCGCGTTTCACTTAAGCTGGCAGAGGAGAAGTTACGGCCGTAATTTCCCAATTACCGCCAGTAATCTGGGAATTACGGCCGTAATTCCTGGGGGTCTTGCCCGTAATTTCACCACCGAGAAGAATTGCTGGGGGAATGCGCGGCCAATTAATTACGGGCATGCCCTGGCTAATTACGGCCGTAATTTAGCAGGGCCTGCCCGTAATTCACTCTGTGACTCGCCAATTGACCTCCAAATGACCCGAAACTTGCGCCTTTGCTCCTCTTTACTTGCTAGGACCTGAAATACGACAAAACAACACAACCTAGCGTAAAATAGGCCAAGGAACAATCAATTCGAGCCAAAATGGACAGGAAACCAGAGTGAAAACATGTGCAAATACGATGCTATCATTGGGCACACCAAACTGTTCCATAATGAAAAAAGGAAGAAACATGCGGAGGAAAGGAGACATGCTAAGGAAGAAGCTAAAAGGGCGAAACAGCTCGAAAGAGCAGAAAAAACGACTGGCAGCCATACAAAGGCAGCAACAGAGGGCTGCAAAAGCGCCATTGAATCAGCCCAACACTGTCCAGCTCATGCCAAATGTATTTATTTATTCACTTGTACAATTTTTCTTTCTAATAATGTCCACTATCTTCTAATGTAGCTTTGACTTTGCAGGGAACTACTAGGAGGCCACGGGTTCAGGCATCACTGCAGCTCAGCCAAGGATCGCAAAATACAAGCCAAGTGACTCAAGAGAACGAGTGAAGATTAGTTGCAGTTTAGGTCCAAATGATAATTACCATTTTGAAGCCTCCAATTGGCTAGTAAATGTAGACGTTGAATGTTGCTTTGTCGTATTATCTAGCCTATTAGGTCATGGTGAATTGCTCTTATGAAAAAACACTGTCCTCGAGGCTATAATTATCATTTGGACCTTGTAAGACTAAGTTTTATGAACGACTATCAGGTTTATCAATCTTCCAGTACATTGGAAGGTTCTTTTGCACAAATACGTGCCTTGTTGTTCCGTTCGTGCTGCTACCTGTGAGTGACCAATTCTGAAACCAATTTTCAATTCAAGTGACCAAAGTTAAAACCATTTTCCATTTACAGTGACCAAACACAGAACAATTTAGCAATTCAAGTGACCAAACATGAAACACTTTAGCAATTCAAGTGACCAAGCATGAAACAATTTATCAATTCAAGTGACTGTAGCTTAAATTGATAATACTAGGATTCACATTGTCAAGAACTAGACAGATCGTTCGACTACATTAGCTACACATCAAAAGATTACAACAACTACAACTACACAGACGACATATCACTTTCCTATCCAAAACAAAAAAGAATACAATAGCTCCTAAAATGATGAACGACACCATTTTCCGATCAAACTTGGACACCTCCTTGTTTTGCCTCTCCTCTAGCTCCCGAATTCGACGATGAAAGTTTAGCAACACATTTCTCATATGCTCATCAAGGGCGGGGTCAAGCCATCTGAAGTAGTTACATGCTCCATTTGTCTACACATCATCGCACATAAATAATAGAAGGATGAAAAGGGCAAAATAATAGTCGAATTGTAACAATAAAAAGGAAACAAAGGTGGATGAAACCTTACCCCATATCTGCTGCATCCATAAAACCTTCTTCCTGGATTCGCCTCAGTCCAGCTCGTCTTCAGATCTGTTGGCTCTCCATAGTGACAGAAGGGTGCCACCATTGGTAGAGGGGAAGTGAGAGGAGGAGGAAAGGAACAGATGAATGGGGAGGGGGCGGTTCTCGCGCAGATTAAAGAGGAAGAGAATAGATGGTTAGGTTAGGGATTCATTTAGGCAAAATACACTTCCATAGCCATAACTTTCGCGTTTGTGACAATAATAGCCACTTTTGGAGAAATACCAGATATAGCCACAATTTGGGATGATTGTATGCCAAATCTAGCCATTTCCGTCACAAACTTTAACGGTGTTAAAGATTCCGTTAGTTAGATTAACAATATGCTGACTAGGATGCCACATCAACGACAACTCACCCTCACTTGCCACGTAGATGCATTGTCATAATTTTCTTTAAATATTTCTTTTGCCTTTTAACACTTCATCTTCTAGCTTCTTCAAATTAATTTCGGCCAAAATCGTGGCGCCTTCCATTACTCTCGCCAAACCCTCAAGGTTGACAAACAAAATCAAGAACAGAGAACACCATCATTAATAAACTCATAACCAAAATTTCAAACCCAGAACCCAAAATCTTAAATCTAGAACCACAAATCACAAATCCAGACCTTTGAATCTGCAGCTTCCTAACCCTTGAAAAATCCCTGTCAACGAAAACAACAATCACCCATCCATCTAAGCACCGAACTTTTTTCGGGCCCAGAAAGAAGAAGAGAAAATAACAAGGACGAGAAGCAGAGGAAGTTTTGTGAGCGACCTTGGTGCCGAGAAGGGAGTGAGTTGCTTTGATAGAAGCGTTTCGGTGGAGAACGAAACAGCACGGTGGATGCCAATCTGGGCAAGCGGCTGCTCCTCGCCGTGCCTGCCAGAAGCCATGGCTCCTGCTGCTTGATTGAAAGCCAGACATAGTGGAAGAAGAAGTACACACGACATAGCCATCATCAAAAGAGGACTCTCTTCAGCCTGCCTACCTCGGAGCTCCCGCCCCTATACTGTATGGATGGAGACTCAAATACAAGGCCGACAGAGTGTGAGTGCCTTCTCTGGTAACGGATTGATTGCTCTGTTTTTATACCGGGGCGAGGCTTCTAAGCTGAGTCTGCAAAAATGCAAACTCTGCCTTTATGATGCCATTCTCTGTAACCTCTTTATCGCTTTTGTCGTTGAGAAGATATTCGCCACCGCTTCATCTCCTTCCTCTCTGGAAGTGCTTTGTGTTCGCCCCTCAGATTTGAACTCGTCGGAGAACCCCCCAGCCCCTCAAATTCGAACTCGTAGTCCTTGAAAAATCCGTTCACTCTCCCCTCTTGCCCATAAACCAACATCGCTAAAGAACCCCCAACAACAAAACCCCCCAAATCGAGCACTGTGAAGGCAGATGCCCCAACAACAAAACTCTTAATCAAATCCACAGAAAAACCCTAAATGCAACCATCCCAATTTCAAACCCGAAAAAATCCTAAATACAACAAAGAGAGTAACTTGACTTCTTCTTCACCCTGGCGGCCTCGTCGTGAGAGCTCGAATCGCCGTTTTGCGATGGCTAGATCTGTTTCGGCGGTGGAGCATCGGAGGGAAAAAACAGTGACGCGTCGCCGGAGAGAGGTCGGGACAGTGAGGAGGCGCCAGAGAGAGGCTAGGACGGCGAGGAGGAAGCGATGGGAAGGATGCTCAGGGAATAGAGGGAGGTGGGGAACGACGAGGAGTTGCCCTGAGAATTTAATATGTCCTAGTCGCAAACAGAGAGGAAGAAGGACATGGAAAAAGGCGAGAGAAGAGAGACCAGAGGGGGTGAAGGAATTTATTTATTTTTTAATTTAATTATAATAATAAAATAATCATTTCCATATGGCATGATTTTGGACAAAAAAAATTGCCACATTAGCAAGAAACGTTAGTCTAGTCAGCATGTTTGATAACACCGTTAAAGAATTGGATGGAATTGGCTATATTTGGTATTTCTCCAAAAGTGGCTATTATTGGCAAAAACGTGAAAGTTTTGGCTATACAAGTGTATTTTGCCATTCATTTATGAGGGGGTAGACTTATAAAATGGCTAGATTCAGGGGGGGTTGGGTCTCGGGTTTGGGTTTGGGTCAATTAATTGGGTTGGTTCGCAGGTTGGGCAAGAATGCTGACTAGGAGGGTAAATATGACGTGGAGGGTCGGGCCGTCATTTTTTAGTGTTAAAATATGCTGACTGTGATTTTCTATTAGCCACGTCATCACTTAACGATCGTCATTAACAGAGTCTAACGGAGGTTAATGGAGAGTAACGGAACTTGTACTGTTCAACTAATTCGAGTGACTATAAATGGAATAAATCAATTCGAGTGGCAAACATAAAATTTTATAGCAATTCGAGTGACCAAACTTGCAATTAAACCATAAATGCGTATAGATACAGCCGACAAGATTCCTACCTAGCCCCCTGCCGCCTGCAAAATCACACAACTGTACCAAGAGGCAAGAGCGATCCACAACAGTAGCCCAGAAGAAGAAGAAGAAGAAAGGCACAAATGGGAATCGAGAAGGAGCTCATCCGCCCGGGAAACGGCCCCAAACCATCTCGCGGCCAGAAAGTCACCGTTCATTGCACCGGCTTTGGTTAGCTTTTTATCTATCCCTGCATTCAAAACCCTCTTATTTGTATTTCGATTTCTCTTCTTCTGCCGGACATCATTCTGCGTGACATTGACGCGTTCATGGCGATGAACCTTTAGGGTTTAGTTTAATAATGAACACAGCTAGGCTTTGGGCGAGATTCATTAGCTGATTGATTATCTTCGTCTATTGATTTGCAGGGAAAAATGGCGATATGTCTGAAAAGTTCTGGAGGTGAAGGCTTATCATTTCTGTTGTTCTATTGAATCATTATTGGTCACTTTGGCCTGCAGAACTTGGTCCAAGTTCCTACCTTTCTATTGTGTTTGTGAGTTGAATAGAACCCCTTTGTTCCTGTATTTCAGCACAAAGGACCCAGGGCAGCAGCCTTTCTCTTTCAATATTGGCAAGGGAAGCGTCATAAAAGGTGAGCCCTCATGTTTTTATTTCCTCGTTTTGAAGTGAAATTCATTGGCTACTTTGTTGTCTTCCACAATATTGTTTTTATTTCCATATAATTCAATAGGCTTTCTCTTCTATGGATAATATATAGTTGCTTATCCTATGCTGTTACCCAATGATTTTTAACATAATCTATCACTGTCTGTTTGGAAGAATGTTTTTTTTTTAAGCTTTAGTCAGTACTGAAAGTATTTGGAAAAGAGAGATTTGACTGGATAATCTTCTCTGCTGCCTCCAGAGTCGATTTGTCTGCATTTGGGTTCTTGTTAGCTCATCCTTGAGAATTCTGTGCTTGTAATCTTTGTATCATTTCTTCTTAGTTCTTGCGCAACTGCTGATAATTCTTGTTAAATATATCTGTAGGGTGGGATGAAGGTGTCATGGGAATGCAAGTGGGAGAAGTCGCTCGTCTGCGGGTAATGTTTCTTGTGTTTTTTCCCCCTCCCCATATGCTGGATTATTGTTTATGCACTAAATAAGAATGAGTTTTTGCTGAGTGTTAATGATACCCAGATTGCATGCCAGGGGTAGAGAGTCTGTTACTTGATAAGGTTGAATCTTTATGTTTCATGGCTCTTTCTAGGTTTTAAGGTTTGAACTTTTTATGGTGAGGTTAATTCCATCCGCTGTTAGGAAAACTTGTCAGGAAAAAAAAGTACAACCTTGTATGTCAGTGCTACTCCAAAACTACCCATCCTGGTTGGTGGATAGGCGACTTGTTATATCCATCCAGGGTTTCAATATCGCAAGTCAATAGTTTGAATTTCAAAACCCTGCTTGGCAAGCCCAGCAAATGACTGCACCCTATTCGATTAGGCTTTGAATGTTGCTATACTTGAGGCTCTTAAAAGTTAAGGTAACACGATTGGCTTTTAATGAGTGGAAGATTTAGTTAGCCATATCATGTCATGAAAGAGTTCCCTCATTTTTCTCTATTCTGCTGCTTGATGATGCACACAGCACCTAATGATGTTGCTCTATGAATGAATTTTCAGTGCTCCCCGGACTACGCCTATGGAGCTGCCGGATTTGGAGCATGGGGAATCCTGCCCAATTCACCTCTGATCTTCGAGATCGAAGTCCTGAGCGCAGAGTGATCCCTCTTAGCAAGTGGCGGAAGAAGATCCATGGAGTTGCAGTATGTTTCGTGGTGTTGTTCAAGTCCTCAGGATTACCTAGAATAATAATGGCCGCCTTGTAACCGAGACATGTCTATGTATGTACCGTAACTGCTCACTTTGAATCATATACTGCCAGCAATCTCTCGGGTTTGAGCATCGATTTGTCAACTCGGTGTACTGTTCTTTGATCATCCACTCATGCTCCACAATTATAATGCATGTTCCACGGGTACAATTTTCATCATCTTAACTGCAAACTGTGGCGTGAAATGAGATGCTTGAAGCAGCAGAATTTCCCTACGCTATGATACACGACTTCAACATTTTTCTCAGAAGCTAAAGGCCCAAGTTAGCACAGGCTTTTACCAAACGGGGAAGAAGTGGGCCGAGTAAAGATGACAACTCCCGAGCCCAGTGCGGAATGTTTGTGTGAGGATTGTCCGAACGGCGCCGTCAATCACGAGTCTACAACTAAGAAGGCAAGAAGTACTAGAGTGCCACTGGCCAACTCAGTCTTCCGTCTTCATCCTCTTGCAAGAAACCTCAGAGGCTTTCTCCCCTCGGTGCTCTGCCTCTGTCGCTGCTGCGGCCCGCGAGTTCCTCTTCTTCCTCTCTATTCTTCTTCGGGTACCTCTTTTGTCTACGCTCTGTCCTTTTCTGCAGAGATTCTCGCTTGAGCAGTTCATAGCTGTACGAATTTCGGTGGCTGGGTTGATTGATATTGCTCTACTAGTTTGAATCGAAGTTAATGGTGGGATTTAGGTTTTCAAATCCGAGGGCGGTTGGTAGTTCCATCAGGTCTGCCTGGAGGGCGCAGCGGTCGCTGAGATCCGGCAATCACTACACGAAAGAATGTAGTCTGGTTAGGTCTTTGGCAACTGCCCCGACTTTGCTTACCTCTGATTCTCCTTCACATTCCAAGCGTTTCAGTTCCAATTCGGTGGCGGGTCGTTCGTCCGCTCTTCTTGGTTTCTACTCTGCGAGAGCCGTTCCTTTCGCCTGTGCGAGCCCTTTCTTGATTCAACGCTCTTGTTTCTCGACCTCCAATGGCAAAGGTGAGAAACCTGGTGGCGATAGTGCAGTCTCTGCTGGAACTGGAACTGGAACTGATGTGCGCGATGGAGGAAACGGAATTTCAGGTGGTGAGTGGATGGATAAGCTTAGCGATGTGTGGCACAGCGTAACTAATGCTGTCAACTATACAGCAGAAAGGGCTAAAGAGGTTACTGATGGAATGACCCCTCATGTCCAGAATGTGCTTGATTCGTATCCCTATCTTAACACTGTGGTTGTTCCTATTGGCTACACACTAACTGGTACCATATTGGCATGGGTGGTTATGCCTAAGCTTCTGAGAAGGCTTCAAAGGTTTGCACTGCGAACTCCTGGTGGAGTACTCTCCACGAGCATAATCGGGCAGGAAATTCCTTACGAGAAAAGTGTCTGGGGTGCTTTGGAGGATCCTATGCGCTATTTGATCACGTTCATGGCATTTTCACAAATGTTAGTTCCTAAAGAGCTGCACAAGTTGCCTTCTGTTGTTTTTCTTTTCAGCTATGCAACTAATAGTTGTGTTCTTTTTCCATGTGTTTTGGACTCGTGTCTTGTAGTTGTACGATGTTGGCTCCAACTACTGTGGCATCACAATATCTCGGACAAGCATGGAAGGGCGCAACAACTATTTCCTTGGTGTGGTTTCTTTATCGGTGGAAGACCAATTTGATCAGTCGTGCGTTGGCTTCACATAGTTTGGCCGTTGCTGATCGAGAGAAGTGGTTAACCTTGGATAGAGTTTCCTCTATTGGGCTTTTTGTTGTTGGCCTAACTGCTTTCGCTGAGGCATCGGGAGTGGCTGTGCAATCTATTTTGACAGTTGGAGGAGTTGGAGGTGTGTCTTAGTGTGGATTGCATTTGTTATACCTCATTGTTTGAAATTTGCATCATTAATTCGGTCTTCTGTTATTTTGTGTATTTTTCTGATAATGCAGGTGTGGCTACTGCATTTGCTGCTCGTGATGTCCTTGGAAATGTTCTCAGTGGTTTATCAATGGAAGCTTCAAAACCTTTTTCACTTGGAGATACGATAAAGGCAAGTGGATCATTTTAAGAATTTGGATAAACTTCTAGATAAATTGTCCTATAGTATTGACTAATAAGCCATCTAGTTAGTTTCTCTTTGTAGCACCACAATAAAACTTTCAGTTATGACATAGATTGATGGAAATCACACTTAAGTTGTATTTAATTGGAATAGGAGGTTCACGGAACCTATGTATGCTTTAGCAAACTGATGTGTGAATCTCTTGAATGCAGGCGGGTTCTATTGAAGGCCAAGTGGTTGAGATGGGACTAACTTCTACAATGTTACTAAATGCTGAGAAGTTTCCAGTAATAGTTCCAAATTCATTGTTTTCTAGTCAGGTGTGTGTTTCATTATGCTTCTATGTTTTCCCCTAGTGGTATTTTCCTCTAGTTGCTGTGATCTTTTAAAGAGCCTCACGACATGTTCTATTTGTTTGATGATGCAAAGTTCTTTTTTTCTTGGCCTGTGCAATTTTAGGTGATTGTAAATAAGTCTCGTGCTCATTTCCGCGCTATGGTGAAAGTAATTCCTCTGGTAGTTGATGATGTGGACAAGGTTGCACAAATTTCGAAGGACATTGAGGGAATGATAAAGTCGAACCCAAAGATTTTCTTGGGGAAGGAGGTTCCTTACTGTTTCTTGTCCAACATTGGAAGCTCCTCTGCAGAATTGACTTTGGGATGCAATCTTAAGCACATGGTAACCTTTCTTTCCTATAGTCTCTTATTTACTAACATCATTCAGCCTTCATTTTTTGTTTCATCATGGAATCTAGTTCCCCAGAAGCATAATTTGCTCTCTGCATAGTTTAGACTACAAACCATATAACCATGTCCATTTCTATGAAGCTAAATAGTGATGCACGAAGTAGAGATTCAAATGGTGGAATGATTTCGTGATTTGCTGTTGCACAAGGTTATGCATAATCGTCCGCTGCAATGGCTTAAGCAAATATCTAAGAGGCTTATTTTATGTGGAAAACATGCATGCATTTGTGTAATCACTGCACTCTTGTTCCTGTTTCTGGTTGCTGGGAATGACTAGGACTGTATTAGTCAATTGCTAATTAGTACCACATGCATACAGCCATCAGTAGCTTAGCAATTTTTAATGTCTATTTTGTCATGTCTAACTAATTCCTTTTCTTCACAGAGCAAATATGATTGTTATGCCACTGAACAGGAGATACTCTTGGAGTCGGCTCGCATAATTAAAGGACATGGTGCCAGACTGGGAAGTACTTGGCAATCATAATTCCGGTGGATGCTGCCCTGGTCTTGTTATTTCCTCGTCATGTAAATGCTCAACTGATCCATTTTGCCAACCAGGACGTCGAAACCCTATACATATAGTCTCACAAATCTGCAGAAATCCTTATGACGGTTAACAACATTGTCTACCACTGATCCATGACTTTTTTTTTTTTTTTTTGTCGTTCACAAGATACATCCCTTGGCCGGTGGGAGATTTTGGGAGATCTTGTTGGTTACTATCTGAAATGTAACTAGGGTTATGAGCTCTATATTCAGAATTAGAAGAACAGTGTCATTGCCTATTTCAATCTTTTGGTTGATGATCTTGTATCTTTTCCCCTTCAAGTTAAGCAAATCATTGGACCATCTCTAGTGTGACAGCTTAATGGTAACTCTTGATTCATGTTCCTGTTGTCACTTAACCCGTGTTAGCAAAGTAGGCACTGTCTATTGGAAATCAAGCTGGTAGGCGATTTTAACACGGTAAAATCACAAGATATCTTATTATTGATTTTTTCGGTGCAATTTTACAATTTTTTTGGCATAGCCATCATGTTATTGCCCGGTTCACCCTCTTAAGCATCTTGTTCACCAACATCCTGCCACGTGGAAAACGAACCTACCACTCAGGGGCGGAGACACAGTATTAGAAGGGTGTTCCACGGCACACCCTTGGATCGGGATTAGAACATGAAAAAATAGGGGTATTAGTTTATGCTATAGCTAGCATTTGAACGTGGAACCCCCTTGCTACTAGCTTTGACATCTTCCACTAAACCACAATTACTTACGTGATACACTAATACGTTTTATTGCATATCGTTTACAAATAATAAGTAAATTAAATTAAAAAATCTCATAATTACATATGCTTATTCAAGAAGTAAACGAAAATTTAACCCTAACAAGCGAGCTTCTTGATATTTTTGATGATGAATGTATTTTACAGACTTTTCAAAATATGAGAACCCGTCGTGGGTCACTATAAAAAATTGATAGTAATTTTAAATTTTTTAATATGGCACCCCCTTACCCAAAATCCTGGCTACGCCACTGCTACCACTGCTGCGCCGTGGCCATGGAAACTTCCAGCTCCGGAAGCCGGGAGGAGCTGGAAGAGAGTGTTGCCGGGGAGATGGGAGAAGAAAGCAGCAAACTCCTTGAAAATGTCACAATGTAGTTGGCATTTGCCCGTTCCTCCAAATAGAAACAAAAACAGAGACCTTCCTCCTCAAAAAACGTCACCATCGAAGGCCCGCCTGCGTACCTATCCACGTCTCCAGAGATGGAGCCCTTTCGGTAACTCCAAAAACCTCATTAAGAAGAAGACTTGGCAGAACCAATATAGAATCATTCTCCATTCTTTCCCCCATTTTCGTTCTCAATTCCCCTGTTTTGACCGTTTCCCAGAGTCTCATCAAAGTGGAAGAAGAAGAAAAAATCCCCAATGGAAAACAGTCTACCAATCAGCAACAAAACCCAGTACGAAGACCTGATGCCGGTGATGGCGGAGAAGCTCGACGTGGAGGGTTTTGTGAAGGAGCTCTGCGGAGGGTTTCAGTTACTCTGCGACGCCGAGAAAGGGCTCATCACGGCGGAGAGCCTGCGGGCGAATTCGGAGCTTGTGGGGATGGAAGCGATGACCGAGCAAGACGCGGAAGCCATGGTGAGAGAAGGAGATCTGGACGGCGACGGGGCGCTGAGCGAGACGGAGTTCTGCATATTGATGGTGAGGCTGAGCCCTGGGATGATGGAAGATGCAGAGGCCTGGCTGGAGAAGGCTCTGCATCAAGAGCTGCTGCGCTCTGAATCACTTCTTTGAAAAGGGCCCTCTGGATTAGGGAATTTTCTTGGTCCTTGTTTTCTTTCTTGCTTTGTTTCTGCGGGTGTGATTCCTGGAAACATAAAGGTTCGTCTTTCTTGCTTTGTAAGTCGTTGACTGTTTGATCGAGTGAAAGAGAGATTGTAAACCAATCTTCAAAAAGTTATTATCCTTATATTTATAGGAAAACTTATGGTTATTAAGTCATCACATAGACAGTTAAATAGATTATGAAAATCGTAAAGTTGTGGAGACATGTCGTGTGTTATATTTATAGGAAAACTCATGCATCTAGTGCTCTACCATCTAAGCTCCATCTCATTGTTGTGCATTGTGATCATATTTAGTTAAAAAATATAAAGTCCAGGTGAATTTGAAGCCTATATTTAACTATAGGAGTGCATTATATTTAAAGGATAATGTAAAATAAATTTTAAGAAATTGAAAAAAAATGTAATATTTTAAAAATCATGGAGATGCAGGGTATCGATCCCCGTACCTCTCGCATGCTAAGCGAGCGCTCTACCATCTGAGCTACATCCCCTTATTGTGCAATTTACTCAAATTCAAGCATATATCGTTTCTGTTATAAATATAAAATGCAAGTGAATTCGAAGCCTGTATTATAGAAGTGCATTATATTTATAGGAGAATTGATGACGATTATTAAGTCATTACATGCTCAACTAAATAAATTTTATGGAGATGCAGTGAGTGCTTTACTATTTATCGTACACTCATTTGTTGTGCATTGAGCTCAAATTGAAGTTTATATCTCTTTAGTTAAAAGTATAAAGTCCAAATGAATTTGAAGCATGTGTATATACTAGTGCATTATATATATAAGAAAATTGATGGTGATTGTTAAGTCATTACATGCTCAATTAAATAAATTGAAAACAATCTGAAAGTTACAAAGATACGGGTATAGATTCTCGTACATCTCACATGCTAAGAGAGTGCTCTCCCATTTGAGTTACATCCCGTTGTTGTACACTCTTCTCATATTGAAGCCTATATCGCTTTAGATAAAAACATAAAATGCAAGTGAATTTGAAGCCTATATTATAGGAGTGCATTACATTTATAGGAAAAAAATTATCATGATTATTAATTCATAACATGCTCAAATAAATAAATTGTATGAAATCTTAAAGTTGCGTAGATGCAACAAGCTCTCTACCATCTAAACTATATCCCTTGTTGTGCACTCTGTTCAGATTGAAGCCTACATCAGTTTAGTTAAAATTATAAAGTCCAAGTGAATTTGAAGCCTTTACCATCTACTCTACCATCTGAGCTACATCTTCTTGTTGTGCACTCTACTAAGGTTGAAGCCTACATCACTTCATATAAAAATATAAAATGCAAGTGAATTTGAAGCCTATATTATAGGAGTGTGTTATATTTATAGGAAAAACAATGATGATTATTAAGTCATTACATGCTTAGATAAATAAATTATACGGAATATTAAATTTGTGGAGATGTAGCAAGCGCTCTACCATCCAAGCTACATCCTCTTGTTGAGCACTGTGTTAATTTTGAAGCTTATATCTTTTTAGTTAAAAATATTTCACGTGAATTTAAAGCCTATATTTACAGGAGTGCAATATATTTATAGCAAAAATGGCGATGATTGTTAAGTCAATATATGCTCATTTAAATAAAATGTAAAATATTTAAGAGCTTTGGAGATGTGGGGTATCAATTCTCGTACCTCCCGCATGCTAAGCAAGCGTTCTACCATCTGACCTACATCCCAATGTTGTGCACTCTACTCAAGGTTATATTGATTGAGTTCAAAATATAAAATGCAAGTGAATTTGGAGGTTCTAGGAGTGCATCTACAAAAGATATAATAGCAAAACAATTGTTAGATTTTCAGGTTTTCAAATTCTTAGCCACCAGAGGGTTTCCCGGAAGGGTAACTTTGTCATTTCACCCCTGTTAATTGAACCCCTGCGTTTTGTTGAGGAGAAGAATGGACATGCCAAATCGCCAACCCCGCCAAATAAAACAGCCCAAACGCAAGTCGGCCCACTTACGGTCCCAAACACCCGTTGGTGAGAATATGATGATCATGTCACCCTTACTAAATGAAACTCACCGTTTTGGCTCAGTCCCCCTCACTGGACAGCTCGATCCATCGACCGGCCCAACTAAAGCCGGCCTTTTTCCAGGCCTGCCCAACACCGTTTGGTCTTCTTCTCTTCTTCACCGTTCTTTTCCCTTTTCCTTCTGGCAAACATAGCGGAAAACAAGAGCCTCAATTCCTCCATCTGGTATCTCGGCTTCATATTCCAAGATTCCTTAGTGCCATTGTCGTTCGCTGTGATGTCCTTCTACTGTGTTGGCTCCAATTTTGATGTTTTCTACTGTACTATACCACACCAGGGTTTTTGGTTCGTCAAGGGTCATCGTGACAGCAACTATGGCCGCAAATCAACATGCTGTTGGTTCCTCTACATGGGGATTACGTGGTCACCAAGTCCATCATTCAAGGAAACAATGTACTTTCTATCCCTGTGTTTTTTCCCATGCCCATTCTTCACCTACGTGGTCAACGTTTGCACACCATATAAGGCTTTGATTTTCCAGGGTTGATGCGAGCAATATTCAAGCCGCCAAAGTCTCCTCCCACACAATAAATTGTTGCTGAGCGGGATTGTCTTAGTCAACGTAGTACAACGGATCCTAATAGTTGTTAAATCAAAGGCCATCATGTTTATTGGATGCAAATAATTTCAGTTTATTTTTTATCCTTTCAGAAATACACAATCTTGAAACACAATTGCGCCATAACGATCGCATGATTGCCCAGGCCAATCGGCACCGGTGACGGGTGATTTTGAACACGTGCTTGCGACCTATGGTGCACCATGCTAGACATGGTAATCATCGCTATCTTTTAGAGGTGTCAATTTATTTTGTGAGGCGTGATATATAATATTATCTGATTTCATTATCCCTACATATGTGACCTACGATAAATATGGATGGGATGAAATTCAATTGTTTGATGAATTGTGTATTAACTAAATGCATTGCCAAATTTGATGCCTCGGATTATACTTCATGCATCTCACGTTTGCGGACAAAACGAGCACGAGTCATGCGATCAATTTATTTGTGCAAAAGGCGGATGGTTCATGTTGTTCCTAGGAGATTTTCCAGTTTTCATGGTTTGTGGTTTCATATTTCATGTTTTTGCACGTGATAAATCTAAATGTTTATGTGTCAATTATCTTATGTAACTACTTTGATTGTAGGGTATCCTGCTGTGGAAGTTTTCAGTCTCGGCCAGCCTTCAAGCATTTGTCAATACTGTGCAGCAATTATGTGGCTAGAAGAAAGTACAACGCCTACTAGGGGTCACGCCAATCCGGTCTTCCCATTATGTTGCAAATCGGGAAAGGTTAAATTGCCTCCCAGACGTGATCCGCCTGCATTTTTGCATGAATTATTAAACTCACCGACACCTATGGGCCGTCATTTCCGCGAAGCTATCCGTATATATAATGATGTATTTTCCTTCATCTCCTTGGGTGGCAAAGTGGATCGTGGGATAAATGATGGATGGGGTGTGTATGTGTACTCTATAAGTGTTCAGATTTATCACTCTATAGGCAGCTTACTTCATGCAACAGGTGAGGCCCCGAGGTTTGCGCAATTGTATATTCATGAATCAAGCTCTGAACTGCAGAATCGTCTGCAACTATTTCCAAGTGATAAATCAATCCAATTCATTGCGGCCGAAGATTGTTGAAGGATTGCAAGAAATGTTTGACAGAAACAATGTTCTGGTCCAAACCTTCCGGATAGCAAGGCAAAAGATTCATGAAGGCAATGTTCAAGAAGTGAAGATCAAATTATTTGCGAAGCATGCACATGATGGGAGATAATATGATATGCCAACAGGAAATGACATAGCAACATTAATTGTTGATGAAACAGGTCAGGATACATTTGAGCCAGATATTATTGTCCAATATAAGAGCTCTCAACTCGAGAGAATTAATTTTCATCATCCATGGCGTTACAATACCCCATTCTATTCCCTTATGGTGAGGATGGATGGCATCCGGATATAAGCTGTAATGATGATCCTGGTGATGATGACGATGGCAATCCTGATGTGATTACTATGCATATCGCATGCAGAGTAGATTTCATGAGTCAAATTCGCTGTTATTAGCTGGAAAACTATTTCAACAGTATGTCGTCAATGCATATGCATTGGTGGAAGCAGAACGACTTGAATGGATCCGCAATAACTAGTCTAAGCTTCGTTCTCATTACGTTAGTGGTTTGCTCGATGCTTTTATACGGGGTGACTCTGATTTAGAGATGACTGGGAAGCATGTGATTTTGGCTGCTTCGCATACTGGGAGCCCACGTTATAAGTATGAAAATTTTCAAGATGCTATGGCTATTTGTAGGTGGCTGGATTATCCTGATTTATTCATTACATTCACCTGCAATGCAAATTGGCCAGAAATACAATTTATGGTGGATTTAGTCAACTCAGATGGTCGAAAAGATTTGAACAGACCTGATATTATTGCTAGAGTCTTCAAGCTGAAACGACATCAACTAATGTATGAGATTAGGGATAAAAAAACGATTTGGAGCCACAACTGGGCATAAGTCATATAGTTTGCTTAACTTTTCCATTTATGTTTATGTTATTTCATTTTATGTTATGTGTGGTAATTGTGTTTCATAGGCATAAAAATTTTCTGTCATTTTCACTTATTGCAAGTATCCAATTTTATGCACGAGTGGCCTTTACTGCATGGCATCTCTCGCACTACACGTAATTGCTTTGTTTGTACTCCTCCCCATGTGTATTAGGTGTGGCAACCAATCAATGTCACTATTGTTTCTTATTCATCAAAGGAATAATTATTATATTGTCATATGGAAGTGTTACTGACACTGAACCTCACATGTTTATGGTTGTCGGTTCCTATTTCCTATGCATGTCATTGCTTCACCCATGGGATTATGTAGAATCCCAAGATTATGTATATTTATTTGACTAATTAGTGGAATTCAAGCTATTTTTATCTCTTCATTTACTGCGTCTTATTAATGGTAAGTGCTTCACTTAAGTACGAGTGAGTTTTTTTTTTGTTTTTTCCTGTTTGATAAATTATTGCCTATCA